GTCGCCCCGGTTACCAAGGGCCGCGCAGGCTTTTTTGGGGGGACAGAGGCAGACTGCGAAAAGTCGACGATCAGAACCTGCCCATTTCCCTCTGCCAGCCGTGGGCGTGGCAGCACAACAAGGGCTGACAAAGATACCAGTCAGCAGCGGAGTCGTTACCCGTTCTGAACGGAGGAGGCAAACAGTGCGACGCCATTACAGCTTGTCGTGGCGCACTTATATGTTATTTAATAAACAGGAAATAAATATTTTTCTACCTACAATATACTATGTATTATAAACAATTAAACGGCCCTCAAGCATTTTAAAATCTAATTTCACCTCATACTGCACCACCTCTTTACTGGGTAATAATGGGTGAGCAAAGCATCTTCCTCATCTTCATTTTCTTCCTCCTCCCCGTTCTCCTCTTCCATCGACTGCATCGAAGACGACTTTCAGTGCCGTAAAGGCATTCCCGTCTGCACTGAATACAGGCTTGATCACTATTCAGTTCTTCTGACGTCATGTTCTAACGAGATCGTGCCATCTTGCTGGAGACCACCTGCACCATTGCTCTGCAGTAGACAATTCTTCATTCGTTGTCAACAATCAGCATATTAAACACGTTGTTTGCAGGCAGAAAGAGGTTGCTCCAGCGAACTGAGTTATGTGACCTGCCTCCAACACGACTGCTCAGATAGGAATAAGAGTGCACAGGCCGTAAAACTGTTTTAGAGGAGCTAAACGCCCGTTAACACACTACGGCACAAGAACTATACTTGTGATACTATAAATAACAAAAATATATACCATATAGTAAACAGTAATAGTTTTCATGACAACATGGCGTTCTGATTTACATGCCGCCTTGGCACTATTTTCGCAGACCATGGCTCCATGATATTACGGCACCTGCAGTGAACGGGCACAAAACAATATCACCTTGTTAGCACCAACAGAAACGTAACGAATATTCCTCGATCAGTAGACATATACAATATAAACTAATCGTTATATTATGGGTTTACTAGCAAACTGAAACCTCCGATATTTCGGAGTTTTACGGTAAGGCTAGTCTAATCTATGCGCAAAGTTCGTATCCTTTGTCGTGGCT